TCCTCATAATAACAGTTTTGGAGATGAGTATCTATGCAAGAAAGTGAAGAAGCACTAACCTTGTAACCCATAACTTCAGATTCGTTGGCTAATGGTGTTACGGGTTCCCAGCCCAGAGATACCTGAAAGCCTTGCTGCTCCCACCTGAGGTTGCTAGGTGCTTGACTAGGGGCTGCAAAATAAAAAGTGAAAGTGAACTGACAAGAATTCTTAAATATATTTCTTCGTTCAAATTCTTGTGAGTATTTCAATCTTTTCGTGTGTTTAGTAGTTGGCTGGCAATATAGGCTTCCTTCCAGCTGGAGTCAGATAAGGAGGGTCTTGCTCTAGAAGTTTCAATTTAATAGCTACTCTACTGAGTTTTTGAACTTGAATCTTTTTATCTCCCTTCTGTGTCAAAATCGCTTAGCCTTGTTTCATAGGAAGATAACCTTTATCTACCGTGAATGCAAAATTTTCTGAGCTAGTTTTGGAATTCAGATTTAAGCATTGAAGCAAGACTATGAATCAAAACTCCTCTTCGTGCTTATTATGTACCTCTCATGGCTTTCAGGGATGTTAAAAGATGTTTCCCTTTTGTCTGAAACAAACAAAAAGCCCAGGTCACTTACGAGATTTCTTGGTGGTTGCACTCACTTCACTGCTAGGTGGCCCGTATCCAGCTCCATTGTAAGCCCTCACTGTCAAGTGATATAATGTATTTCCTTCTAATCCTGTTAGGATGATGGATGACTCATTCCCCCTAGTTTTGACTGTTTCTGCTGAATCTTCTTGTTCCATGTCTTTCCAGTAACCAACCTGTCAATAAATTATCATATGGCAGATTAATTTTAAAGTTTCCTCTGTGCTTGTGACTGATTGAACTTCTTTCCTTCCTGCCGGGAACGTGGCCAGTGTTCCCTGCAAAAAACTGGGTCCCTCTGGTAGAGTTGCAAGGGATAAGAAAATAATAGAGGGAAATGGAAGATGGAAGAAATAAAAGAATACACTGAGACAAAGATATAGTTTTATAAGTTTATAAAGATTATAGGCAAAGCGGGAGCTCGGGGGGCTTAGACCTCTCTGTGGGTCTCGAAAAGCCCCGAATG